GACTACTTCCCTCCCCCCGCTGCTCTGGGCGCTGCCCCGCTTGTGGGGCCGCGCCCGGCATGCTGGGGCGGCGCGGAGGGATACAGGCAGCGGCGCGAACCACCTGCCGGAGTGAGGCCGCGAGTGGAAGGATACAGGGATGGGACTGAGCACTCTACTCCCCCGCGCTAGGGGTGGAGCTAGGGCGTCCCGCAGGAGAGGGGCACGGGAAAAGGGGTAGGGGTGGAGGTAGTTTCTATAGCCCGATGAAGGGTATTCGTACCCAAAAGCTTGCAAAGAAGAGTTTTTTTCCAACTATTTGAGCTGGTCTAATAAAAGACATCAGATTTATGCAAAGAACCTCACCTGTCATGGGCAAGGCAATGGCTCCAGTGTCTAGCTCGGCGCGAGCTTGGACCTGGCCTTTTCCCTGGGTGCCGCTATCGATCTCAATGTTTTGGCCCTACAAGCTATCTGAGTGGTGTGGAGCCAACCCCCCCCCACCGCTGGGCAACTCTAACCTGCTGGGCTTCCCACAGAATGGGAAATTTGGCAGTCAGCTGCCAGTGCCCCCTACTACCAGTTTTTCAGTAAGGGGGAGGGGAAAGAGCCCTGCAGGCTGGGGGTCGTGGCTGTGGAGGCTGGATCTGGACCCCAAACCACAGGTTGAACGCTCTTTCTGTATGCCAGTGGGTCCCAATCTGTGCTACATGTACCACCAGTGGCATGTAGACAACCTGTCAGTGGTACAGATTTGTTACAATTACTTCATATGACAAAACTTTGCTGGTGGTACTTAAGGTCCTTTCCAGCCCCTAACAAGGTTGAACTGAAAAATTTGCTGGTAGTACTTTAGGTTGTATCATTTTAAATTGGTGATGCATAATCTCAACATTTGGGAACTGCTGCTATGTGCATTTTTCTCCAGGGTGGGTATGCAACAGTCACTCTGGCCTGCCCCTGTGCAATATGCCAGGAAGCAAGTTGTGCAAGGAGATACCGAAATCCCAAATTGGAAGATACTGAAACATTTCTGTGGGGTCCAAATGCTGGAAAGCCATCTAAGTGAAGCCTACATCAGTCTGTAAAGGCAGTTTCCTCTGCACAGCTGCTTTATCAGACAGATGTTGTGTGGTTCTGTGTTTCTTACCCGTGTCCTGCACACCCCTGGCCCATTTTTGTTGTGCTGGATGTGTCACTACCTTCTTCCTCCCAGCTACTTTGATCTGAGGAGCAGTTCAGTCTGAATCACAATGATTAAATACATGAGAGCAGTGAGTTGCATGGGACAGTGTCAAGGGAGTTGAGTGCACAGGCTAGGGAATTGCACCCAATGCTAATAAGGCAATTCTCGGAAAGAGCCATAGGCACCAGCCATGACAGTTTCCCTGCTCCCTACTGACTCAGCCAAGAGATCCTCATATCAGAGAAGTGGGCAGGAATACAGAAAATCTGAAAGTAAACAGTATAACTGTATCCCCAGTCTTCTTCCCCACCCCTCCCACATGTGCATGCACACACAGGTGTGGGAGTCTGGAACTTGCCTTAAAACAATAAGAACAGATCCTAAGGGCCCCAAGACCTCACCACCAGGTAGAGCAAAGAAGTCACAAAACATGCTTGCCATGTAGCTGCTCTTATTAATATTGCCCGATAGCCAAATCCCCATTAACTGGTGTACAATTTGAAGGAATTTGTTTTGGCTTCCCTTGTACTTAGTTAAGCAAAATAAACACCCAGGCCGTCTCTGGGAGCTAACCCCCTGTAGTTGCTTAATCAGAGCTGCCTAGTTGACAAGTAAGTGTGTTCCTCCTGATACAAGGGACAAGAGGTTCTGCTGGCCTAAATGCATCTGCTGCTTGTGCAGCTAGGTTGCTTGACTGAGGACTCTCCAGTAGTGATGCAGAAAGAACATACCTGCTTTCTGTTGTTAACTCTGTGTTATTTCACTCCTAGTAATACCACAGAGCTAAAGCAGCATAAACATTTGTCGCTAGAGGGCATATGACATATAGGAGATGGTTCTGCTAGTAAGAAGTGGTTATTTCCTTATTCAGTTTTCAGAGCATTACTCCTCTTTAAATTACTTGACAGTGTCACACTAAAATATTTCAGGGAAATGCATGACCCGTCTTCAAAAATATTTAAATCAAAGTGTTTTGTCACAGATTTAAAGTCGCACTTCATTCTCTAGGACTTCAGAAACTGAAGAGATGCTACATTTTGCTTGTTCTCCTTTCCCGCCCCCCCCCAGACCATTCCACCACACTTGCCTTGCAGTGTTCTTTAAAGATGTCCAATTCTGTATTCATTAGTAATATGCAAAGGGTATAATAGTCTGAAAGCTGCCAAGTTGTAGGCACAGCCCTTGATAGGAACACCAAGGTAGTAAATAGAATACTTCTGGATTTGTTCATGCAACAGTGAGATGGACAGAGGATAATTCTACAAGTGCAAAAAGAAAAAAAATTGCCAGCTTGTTTATTTAACCCTACAGAATGAGTTCAAGTGAGCTAATTAGTTGGGCAGAATGAGTGTGAGCCAGGTAAATATAGAAGTGTAGTATTAATTTGGCAAAGCTCTTAATATTCCTCCTGCCTTCATATTTTCTGTCCCTTCAAATTACAGAGATATTTAAAAGTGTAAAAAGCATCAAGGTCTATCATTTGTCATTTTTTAAAGACACACTAGAATAAAATCTTCAAGGTCTAGACTATTAGTAACAGGCACATTGTTCTGCTGAGTGATTTGCTGAGTAAGGCCCAATTTCAGTTACAGCTTCTTGGTCCTATGATAGTACAAATAAAATGCAATGCAACATATTCATTCTACTTAGCAAAAACTTTTTGTTGTTGTTGTTGTCGTTGTCCCCTCCTCCCCCCACTCATGTGCAAACAAGAGTATGCAATGGAGAATAGGTATACATTTCTCTCACCACCCATATGCAAATGTGGCACAGAATATTCATAACAGCTGACATGCAAGGATGAAAAAGAGTATTCAGAGTGAGAGAGGAACACCAGTAAAATACTCCCACAAGTTAAATGCAAAAAGATACTTAAATATTTTAAGATACCGTTAAACATTTTACTTCCAGGAAGCACAATAGTGTTGCAACATTAGTAGTTTTATATTTCTGCAGTATAGTGTTTCCTCCCCCCACCCCACAGTTGTTCAAGATGTATTAGTGAGATCAGATGATCTATTTAAAAACAAAAACCCCAACAAAACTCTCTGTGCACCTGCTTTTCATGGCAAAGTTGGGAAATGTACTGAATAAATCACATTGTGGCCCTAAAGAGTCAGGAAGTATGCAGCACCCACTATTCCAAGGTGGGTCCCAGAAAGTTACTAACCAAACACAACCTTGCTTAGCTTTCAAGGTCAGTCCAGTTCTGTGGACTATGGTTATTGACAGTCTGAGTACTGCTTTTAATCTCCTCAGCCTGTTATAGGTTCTATGAATGCTGGACCTGCACATTAATCCAATTATCCTACTGCTAAAGAGCTTGAACATGAACACTTCTTTCTTGCTTAGCTTTGTTTTGCTTTTAATGTTTCAACATAGAGACCAATTAAAAACACAAAACACATGTTAAAATACTTTTTCTAGGCATAAAAAATCATTCTTTTATTGACATTTTAAAATGTATCTTAGGGTTCTGTTACTATTATTCTCCTGTTCTCACCTAATCTCCTCTTCCTTCTGGTTCCTCAGTTCAGCTGGTACTGCCCCTTTTTTTGTGCCTGGTGTTCAGTCTCATACAGCACCTACTGGCTGCCAGATCTGACAAAGCTAGAAGTGTCATTATAAATAAAAGTACTTGAAGGGGATGGTTGGATTCACTGAGCAGCCAACAGGGGAGCTATTGGGCTCCGAGCACACCTTTGCTATGGTTGAATCATATGGCTGGAAACTAGTGTTTTAGGAAGTGTGGCCATGTACCTTGGACAAATTTACAAATAAGAATGGCTGGGCCCAGTTAAGATTGATATGGCGTGGTCAACCATCATGAATTTTGACCACACGAGTCTGGCCCACAAGAACAGGTTTTGTTTTAGAATCAAGAAATTAAGTACAAGTTTTAAATCCTATTTTGGATCCTGAATTTGGAGTCCTTGAATTGTATATTGTTCATGTGTCTAGGCTCTCTCCACTACAGCAGTAGTAAATGTACTAGTTTTAATGCAGTAACATGACCCCAGAGAGTAGGATGTTAAGAAATGAGACACAGGAAGACACTGCAAGACAGGAAGGTAATTGTCTTAGCTTAGGTAGACCATGAACAGCTGAGAAAGCAAAGAAAAAAGAAAGTGTCATTCAGAAGAGTTGTTTATGGAAAACAAAAAAAAAAAAAAAAAAAAAACAGCCCATCAGCTGGGGAAGCTTCCAACAGAAAGGGGTGTAGGGATAAGTCTAGAATGCCTACCTGGAGCCTTCAGACAATGAAGCTGTGGAAGAAAACAGGAGGAGACAGGCTAGAGGGGTTGTTTTAAAAAAAACCACACACACAACACACAACAAGTATCACTAAAAGAGGGGGGAGTTTGACAGTCTCCCATAGGAGAGGTGGAGACACAATACCCTTGTCATTACAATTACTGGCCAGCAAGGAATTACATAGTGAAAGCCATCACAAAGAACACAGAACTAATGAGCCCAGATTCAAGTTCACTATTTTAAGGCTCTCTCATGCCAGAGAGAAGTTGGCTGAAGGAATATCTTAGGCTCGGTACAAACATTAAGTTTATCACGGGATACACATACAGGAAGTGCTCTACAGCTATAGCCAAACAGATGGCCACAGCACAGAGTGCCCAGTTGTGTCCCCCCCCCAGCACAGCTGCCACATGACCTGCATGGGCCAGTCAGCGCCCCTCCCCTGATGACTTGGGCCTCAAGGGAGGCAGCCCAGGACAGTATGGTTTGACTACAGCCATGATGGGAACCAGTGCCCTGGCGGAAAACTGGGGAGCCCCTGGGAGAAAGAAGGGCGGGGGGAATTGCAGCCTATAGGCCATTCCTGTAGTCATAGCCCCCTTTCATGGAGGTTTTGGCCAAGGCCAGAAAGGGGCTGGGGTGGAAGGGAGGAGGAGTCAATCCCACCCTGCCTGTTCACAGTGCAGGGCACCAGGCCTCTAATTGCTCAAAAGGCTTCTATCCTTCATCACTCAGAGCACTAACTCCCACCCCACCATCCTGAAAGGCAGTTGAGGCACCTAGTTCCCTTGGCCACTTATCAGCCCACATCCCATTGTAGCGAGACACGGCAGGATCTCTGGTGGCCCAGGCATGAATGACTGGTGCCTCCTGAGACCGGGGGAGGGTACCATAGAGGCAAGAGGGGACCACCTGCAGTCACTGTCACTGGCAGCTAGCAAGGACTGCCCACAACTACCACTGGCCACATCAGCAGCAAGTGGGGGGAGACATGGATGGTAACCACCCACAGAAGCCAGCAGCAGCCACAAATCTGGGGGGGAAAAACATGTGCACTCCTACTACATGTTGCCCATGGGCCTAGGCGAATGCCCAGGCTCTGGTAATCTCTCAGTTTTCACCTCTGGGTTTAGAGTCTCTCCCTTTTCCTCACCTGCCATTCTTTTGACACAACTTTGGGGGGGGAGGAAGAGAGTTGGGAGGTTGCCTCAAATCCCAAGGAATCACTGGTCTGGCTCTTTGTTCTCATAACAGCTTTGTAAGTTGGCACCTTAGGGCTCTGACTGCACTCTAGCTAGGCCCACACCTTGCGCATGTTAACAGCTCATCATCCTGGGAGAAGATCCCTCAACCCCAGGCCAGTATCTCATCTAGTTTCTGGTCTCACCTCCTAGGATTTGGGTCTGCCCCTTCCCAGGTCCAGCTTCCCTTCTAAAGGGTGTGGCACTCACCCCTCAAAGCTCTGGTCTCATCCTTCCCAGGCTCCCTCTTCAAGGGTTCTAGCTTTGCCCCTAGGGCCCTGATAACACCCCTTTAGGGCCCCAGCTATGTTCTTCAGGGCCTTGGTCTGTGCCCTCATCTTTAGACTACAGCCTTCCTCACCCATGTTCTGAGCCCAGCCCTCAACAGGGCTTGTAAATCTCATATACCCCTTCGGCACCTCCACCCCTCCTGCCATTCCCAATCCCAGTCCTCAGATTATAACAATAGGAAAAAGTCAGGCCTCAGGCCATAAATCAAATCAAGCTCTCTAGCTACATAAGAAAGTCCCCCCATCTCATAGTCAACTCTCAGTTCCTTACCAGCATGCACACTACCACAATGCCTTAGCCATCATAGTACAGATCTCCTTCCCTGGTTGTCTGCAAGATAACCCCCTAGGTCCAAACCCTGAGTTTATATGTAGTTGAGGCTCTGCTCTCCTGGTCTTGTGACCACCCAGCCACCACAGGTGCTTCTCTTTAGGCGAACTGGCTGGTCTTCAGAGGTGCTTTCAGCTGTTGGGATAGAAGCTAATGCTCTACTTTCTGGCGTTACTGTGCTGCAGCTAGTTTTGCACTGGGCAGACCACTGTACTAAGCAGTCTCTGCCCAATTGAACTATTTCAGTGCCACTACCTCCACAGTAGGCACTGTCCCAGCCTAAGGTGCTCAGGTAGCTTGTTCTGCTACTCTTAGCAAGAAGCCTGGTCCCCCTGGGGTTCTTTTCACTGCTAGTTCCTTCTCAGTAATAACAGGGAGTCCCTGGCATTCAATGAGAACATAAATCTGCCTTATTGACATCCCCCCCTCCCCCACATCTTTTAAGGCCAAGCTGATCTCCTGGAAGAAGTGAGTCTCACTGCAGCTATCCAGAGCAGTTGTGTGGAACCACCTCTCTCTCCTCCCAAGCACGGAAGGGAAGGCACTGAAAGCATTTATTGAGCTCCCAAGGCAAAGTGTAAAAAACAGTTACAACTGCAGGTATATGCTGCCCTGCTCCAGTTGCCATTGCCACAGGCTGAGTTGGCAGAGAGCACCCCAAGGTCAGGGTGCACTTGTGGTACAGCAGGA